GGGTCGAGCGGAGCTATAGGCGTGCTCTTGACTGCTCGATTGAATCAATGTTGATGATCATTAGCTCCTCCTCTTTGGGTACCCTAGTATTGGTCCCCGACATGAACATTTCTAATAGCCTAGAAATGCAACTTGGAATCAAATTCAGCTCATAGACTTAGAAGATTTTTAAGTATATCGATAGCTAGACAATGCCATGTTTGTTAATTTATTTTGCGAAATTGGGTTAAGAATATGTGTTATATTTTAGCTCAGTTTGGTAGCCTCATATGCCATCTTGAGTATGGTGAAGATGGTTTAGGTCTAGAAGCAACCGTTTAGTTGTTATAGGTGCTTTAAAATACGTGCATTATACGTTCATGGGTTGGCCGGGTGGACGCGGTCACCACGCTCGAGTGCACGCCGTCGCCACGCTGGTCGCTCGCCCGTGCGTGCGCTGCCGTGCATGGCCGACCACGGCTGCCTCTGGCCTGGTCACCACTGGCCTCTACTACGCGGAGCCACTGCTGCTGTTTGCGTGGGCGTGCGGTGCTGCTAGCTGTCCCGCCGTGCTGCCGCACTATCGACCCGCCTCGCGCCACGACACAGTCACTGCCGGTGCTGTCGCCTCATTGTCATGTCCGTGCTTCTCTCTGCACCGCTGCTGGCCCTATTTAAGGCCGCCACTGCCGCGCGCACGTGGCCATGCTCGCCGTCACCTTGCCATTTATGGCGCTGCACCACGTGGGCCATGGCAGGTCGGGGACACACGCTCTTGTCCTTTGCGTCTACGTGTATGCCTTCCCGGTCGTGCATAGCATGTCCCACCAAGGCGAGGCCATGTTGTGCCACCTACCGGCCCGTCTCTCTCTCTATGCTGCCACCGTCGACGTCGCACCCCACGCAATTGACCAACGAGTGGTCATGTCCTTTCAATTCAGCACGCCTGTGTCTCCGCCGTCAAGTCCTCTAGCCGCCCGACCCCACCCCGCTCCAATTTGGCATTTTTCCCATCGCCGTGCCGATAAGGCTGCGTCTGGCCGTGGACGAGGGTAGCCCTCCTACCGTACCTCCTGATCTAATTCACCTGCACCACTAGTTTTGCCTTGCCTCCCTCTCCACCTTGCGTACGCCAGTGGAACTGCTACCACCACCTGAACGCCGCTGACGCGACTGTGCCACCGCGGTGCACCGCCGCACGGCTCAGCCACACGTGGCCACACCTCCTCCGCCATCCTTCACCCCAACCATCACCTCGGCTAGGTCCACGGTAGTCTACTAATGCTCCTTCGCTAGCCAGTTAGGTTCTTAGGTGCTTTTGATCGTTGGGGCAGCTGCGCCGCCGCCGCGAACGGCCGCGTGTCGCTGCAGCTCGCTCCAGCGCGTCCTGCCGCCCTGCGTTGCTGCTTGGTGTAGGCGGTTGGACCATAGTTGAAGGTTGTCCCGACCGATGGGCCAGCGTGAGCCTCCGTGTCGTCGCCTGTCGTGCCGCCGTGCGTTGAGTCGCTGGGGGTGCGCGTAGGTGAATTAAGAAAAAGTCATGGGTTAAGTGAGAAGATCTGAGAGAGGAGAAAATAGTGTTAGTACTTAGTTGTAAATTGGGAGGAGTTCGAGGTCTCTTTTGCAAAATCTCCAACGCGCGCGGGACTCCTCCGCCACGGGCCGCCTCACGAGCGGGCCGGCCTCACGTGGACCACGCCAGCGGGCCGCTGTGCGCGCGCTGTGTCGCACGGGCCGCGCGGGAGATTTCGTTTTCTTTTTCATAAGGAATTAGCAATGGTTTTCAAATTTAATTTTTGAGCTGATCTTTGGTAAATCATATAAAATCATGTATGTGTCTAAAAATTGTGAAACAAATTTTGTTAGGTTCCTAAAATTGTGCTCCATCTGTTGGTGTATTTCGTTCTTGTTTGTGCATGTTGACATTAGGAGCTATTAAATCATTTGAGGATGCTTAATAATATTAAGTTAATTATTATTGGAATTTTTGTGGTAAATTGGTGATAGCTTTTGTCCTAAAAATTTTATAGTAGCTTCATTATATTATTATGTGCTCATTGTACTTTTTGTAGCCTTAGAATAGACTAAGCATTAGGGTAGTTAAATGCTCTTTGTTTCAATATACATTAAATCATTAGTAGAAATAAAGATATACCTTTAAATTGCAAAACTGAGTGTTTGTTAGTTGAATCCAACATCTTGCTTGATGAAGATGATAATTAGTTTAGTATCTTAGTCATTAGACCTAGCTTAGTAGCTTAGTATGCGTATTCTTAGTTTAAGAGTTGTTGTTGCCTAAATGCTAAGTGTTGCATCATCATCGCATGCATGTAGAAGAATGAGTTGGCGAAGATCGTGACCACCGGTGATCACGAGTTCGAGGAGATCGTCGAGGAGTATGAGGAGGAGATTCTCGTGTAGGAGGAGGTCCCGGAGCCGCCACTGACTAACTCAGCTGACACCACGCCTGCCCAAGGCAAGCCCCGATGCATAACATCTATTTTATAATTCACCGTATATAAATGTGTTGTGCATTTACATTACAGGAATTTTATGGGAACCTCATGCATAGATACACCTGTCCTAAGAGTCTTACTAGTGCATGTTCGAGTAGATGTTATGCTTATGTCATCGGTAGCGTGAGTAACATGTCGTTGCTCACAATAGGGGATTATTATTACTCTCATAATAAAATGATAAAAGAAAAAATAGAGATAGGGCAGGGATATGCTATGGGTATTGGTGGGTGTAACAGGTTGTGTCCCGCGGCCAACGAGGCTTAGCTTGGTTATACTGTTTTCTCTGTTTGTGTTAATTAAGGACCGTCCGTTGTTGTGGATGATAGTCAAGTCATAGACTTATTATTCTGAGCACATACTTGCTTATGGGAGTAGAAAGGCTCATTACGCTCTTGTCGTGGGTTCTGGTTCTTTCCAGATCGACTAATTGGAGGTGGAAAAATGGAGGTCTAAGCACCATACTGAGACCGGGTCTCAAATGTGGGGGCTTAAAGTTCAAATTTGGACGGGGACCTGAACCCCATGACAGGAGTGAAATGGGTTGGTCTTGTTTGTGCCTTGGGTACAAACGAGACATGTGTTTCGGGGTACCCAGCTGTGATACATTGGTTCGCGAATCGCCGTTTCTATGAGACGGTATGACTTGGCTATGGTCTAGCACCGTAGTAAGAATTAGGAAGATGAAAGGTGGTGAAATGGTTCTGATTGTTTAACCTTTGCTTGAAAATAGAACAAGTGTTTACCTAGAATAGTTAGCTAATGAAGTAATCAAGACTGCTGATAAAACTTGACTGTAAGGATGAACTATTAGTAATGCTTTTCGCAAACAAAAAGAAAACAATAAACCACATATTGCCTATCATATTCTTGAGAGCCGGAAAACTATTTCCACTAGTCGAGTAAGTCTTGCGAGTACATTGTGTACTCAGGGTTTATTTTACCCCTGTTTCAGGTGCAGCTTGAGGGTAGCTTTTGTGTGGAGGATTTTTCTGGTGGGTATAGACGGATCCCAGTATCGTTTCCGCTAGATGTTTATTTTCATTTCGCTGTTTAATTATCGCACTCTGAACTCTGGTATTGTAATAAATAATTTTCAAGAACTCTTGTTGTATAAAATGGACTAAGTATTGTAAGCTTGTACTTATTATTAGATTCTGGATGTAAAACGTGGATTGTTCGAGTTCTATCTAGGGGTGTGTTCGACGAAAATATTCGATGTAGCTCACTTTCGAGGTGTTTAATATCTTGTGGAAGACGAGCGTCTTCAGAAACGTGTTATTTCAGACGGTTCCGCCACATTTTGAATATGTGCCAAAACCGTCGTCCTCTTCCTTCTTTCAGGCCTGTCCTTTGTGATGCTAGCTCCTGTGGAGTGGAGTTTCCTCGTGCCTCTTTCATTCATAAATGTGATAAATGTGGTCTCGTTTACGCTCAACAGCGAGCCATTCATTTCGCTTTTTCCTACTTTTCTTTGTGCTGCTGAATTGCTCCTTTGTTTTCCATTTCCGTCACATTCGGTAGTTCCTAGAAACAATTTGGGCCGTATACATTCATCATCAGGATCGCAATCAAACCTCTAAAAAAAGAATCGCAATCAAATCATTTATCATGAACAGTACATTTACGTTGGCTAACCGATTGTCAGCACTTGCCACCTCGGTTCATTAGCAGCTTCCATTTGTCTGTCAGCAGTCAGCACCTTAACTACGCGCTTCAGAAATCAGACAGACCAACGACCTTTCCATCGTCTGCACTGCACATGCAATGCAGGCCCTGCTGAAAGATTAAGCTTTTCGTGCTTTTACCCACCTTGATCATTGGCAAAACAAGCTCAGACAACATGCTCGATTTCCTTATGTTATCTCCTACTAGTCGCAAGGCCCCACACACACGCACAGGCACAGAGACGTTGGTTCAGCTATGCCCATCGCCCTTCCACTAAATCTCATCGAATTCGACGCCTTTCTGCAAAAAGATATACGGATATCACCGAGCACCAATCCACCATGTTTCCCATCCATCCTGGAAACCGCACAAGAGCAATTAGACCAGAGCTACGCGCTATACCGCAAATTGCAGAGGAAAAGAGCATATGAATTCAATCAGGCCGTCTTCCTTCCGTGCTTTCACTTTACTGAAGAAAGCATGATTATACCGGGCGGAAAGCGAGTAAACTGCCTCCCTTACGCTATAAGTGTAGTCCAAGAGGGAGTGCTCGGATTCCCCCTCTTCTCTCCACCTCTCTTCTTGATTTCCTGATAGTCTATGCGTGGTCGCTCCTCCGTCTCTCCCAGTTCAGCAGCCGTCTTCTCTACCTTCCTCGCCTATCCTGTGCTCCTCTATAACCACTGTACTCAAACTAGCAGTACCTGAGCGGCACTGCTTCTACTTGTACGATAGCCTGTACCTGTACTGAGCTGACATTATATACAAGCCCTTCTTGCTCGTGCCAATTGCCATTGCCAACCACCACGTAGAGCTGCATTGCTGTTCTTCGAGGCCATGGGAATTGCAACAAGAGTTTGCTTCCTAGTTCTTGTTCTGGTCTGTACATTTCTCAGAGGTAACAATTAGATCGTTGAAGAGTACTTACTGTATTTGGCTGCTTTGGTGATTGTTTGACGGAATTCTTGTAAGGGACGATGGTGAGAGCTGAATTGACGATGTCTTTGGGTTCTTGGTCGCAGAAGGGAGAGCCGCGACATTCACGTTCGTCAACAGGTGCACGGGGACGGTGTGGCCGGGCATCCAGTCGAACGCCGGGAGCTCTCGGCTGGACCCGACGGGCTTCGTCCTGCCGCCGGGGACGTCGCGCGCGGTCCCGGCGCCGTCGGGGTGGTCCGGCCGGGCCTGGGCACGCACCGGCTGCGCGCAGGATGCGAGCGGGAAGGTGGTGTGCGCCACGGGCGACTGCGGGTCGGGCTCCCTGGAGTGCAACGGCCAGAACGCGGCGACGCCGGCGACGCTGGCCGAGTTCACGCTGGCCGGCGGCGGCGGCGACGACTTCTACGACGTGAGCCTCGTGGACGGCTACAACCTCCCGATCCTGGTGGAGCCTGCGGGCGGCGCCACGGGCGCCACGACGTGCGCCGCGGCCGGGTGCAGTGCGGACCTCAACGAGCGGTGCCCCGCGGAGCTGCGCACCGAGGGCGGCGCCGGCTGCCGCAGCGCCTGCGACGCCTTCGGCAAGCCCGAGTACTGCTGCAGCGGCGCGTACGCCAACCCCAACACCTGCCGCTCCACCGCCTACTCGCAGCTCTTCAAGTCGGCGTGCCCCAAGTCGTACAGCTACGCCTACGATGACCCCACCAGCACCTTCACCTGCGCCGGCGGCCGCGACTACACCATCACCTTCTGCCCCGTCGCCACCCCAAGGTACATCTTCGTCTTCATCTTCATCTTCCTTCCGAGCTCACACGCTACCCTCGTAGTAATTGACTTTTCCCATGCTTTGGCGTGCCTTCTTGATTAATGATTAGAACGTGGTTAGTCATAAATGCTCTCGAGATTTGCATGCAGAGTTAGTAGGCCCGCCGGGGCAATGAATTGGCGACGGCACACCATGGCCCGGTACACTTGCTGCACCTAGCAATCGTGCACCGGTAGCGGTTGGTGCATGATCAAGAGTGAGTGACCCAGCACTGAGCGCTCCATATCACCTTATCTGTCTTGTTTAAATGCATAGAAAACGAGTGCAGGTATGCCATATACTTCTAAAACTCTGGAATGGATTAGTAGAATGTGATGGCGAGAGGTTTGGAAGATTGCAGTGTGATGTAATGATTGGCCTGGATCAAGTACGCTCTGTATCTTGCCATTTCGGTTGGTGCTTAGTGCTTTTTAACATTAGGATTAGCTCGCTGCAAGAGGTTTGACCCCTCGTGCCCGTGCGGACCATTTTACCGCTGTCATGGGCGGACCAGGCCAGTCGGTTTCTTATCTCGTGATGTCAGCGTACAGCAAAGCAAGCGTAAAACCGGCCGAAGCTGTTTTATTGTGAGAAAAAAATATTGTAGATTCTAGTTAATAAACAGGCTGATATGTTCAGGCAAACAGGCCTTACAACCACCCCTGCTTGCCTGCTATACTGTGCTACATCGCGACGTCAGTAGCAGTAAATATTTAACGCAGAAAGGATAGTAAAAACCAAGCAGAAGGATCGCTTTCATCATTAGATTAATTCACCGGGCGTTCTTTTCACTAATTGCTGGTGTCCTTTTTGTGTGACGGAAAACGTGCAGCCTGAAATCGTGGAGTGGCCCTGGAGCGACGACGGCGGCACCGACAGGCCCAACGCCGACGCTGCCGGGGGCGACGCCGCAGATGCCGCGGTCGGCAGGTGGGCAAGGCGGCGGCCCCGACGGGCAGGGCGTGATGCTGGGCGACAACTCCTGGCTCGCCAGCCTCGCCACGGGCGACGCGCCGTCGGGGCCGCCGGCGCTCCGGGCCTCGCTCCTCGCGCCGCTCCTGCTCGGCGGCCTGCTGCTGCTGGTGCTATAGTACCAGCGGGAAACCCAGGCAACCGACCCCGTCACAGGTGTGTGAGGCGAAAGTTTTGGTCAAAGAAAGAAGCGGGCGCGCACGGGGCACTGGCGCAAAGCGAAGCGGTGCGCTCGGCTTGCCGCCGTGCCGACGCGGACGCCGACCCATTGTAAAATCCGACATCTTCTTCTTCTTCTTCTCCTTATTGGGTTTGTACCGTTGTGTTCATCAACAAAAGAAAGAAATGTACAAGATTGTTTCGCAGATACCGAAAGACTAGAAGCAATGATTATGCACGCACTAAGTAGTCCGGCCGGCGTCCCGGCCATCAGAACACGCTAGTGGCGAACCAACTACTAACATTTGCGCACAACTTGTCAGGCTAACAAAGTGGAGTGATTAGCTTACATTATTCTGAACGAGCCGAACATATACGTACCTGCTACTGCGTTACAGGGTCTCCCTTCAAACTGCCCTGAACGGACCTACAGTTTGCTCTAATGACCGAACAGCCGCTTTGAGAGACGTGGCAGGTGCACTGTCCTATCTCGGACAGCCCACCGAACGTTCCTGCTGCATTTGAAGCGTCTCCTAGTCATGGTGGTGCAGGCGTGCAGCAGATGATTTTGACGGCTAGCCGAACGCGTGCCCCCAATCAACAGCTAAAGGAAAAGTAAATGGCCTACTCATGGATGAGGTGGCTGCAGCATGGACGGAGACACTAGAATACTAGTAGTGCTGATGGTATAGTACTGCTGCCACTTTAAAGTAGTGTACAACAGACACTGTGCAGCTGATGACGCGTCCTCGGTGATTGTTGGTACATGGGACGGAGGAGAAGATGTTGCCATGCCATCTGATCTGTGCTCGCGGATCAATCAAATACTCCTACGTATATACAGGCGAGGGCGTGGTGGGGAGGACATGGGCGGGCGCGGTGATGAGATGATGCCCACTCATCTGGTCCTCTGCTTTTGCGTGAAGCCAAAGGAAGGAAGGATCGGTGCCGGGCGTTCCTGCCTGCCTGCCTATCATCGCTTCTGAGCTGCGTCGTATCACCCCAGGATCGCCTTTTAGTGCCAATGTTAGTTGATGCCATCTGCGGCTGAGCACGGTAGGGACCATACATCTGAATCTATTGCTGCTTCTCAGATTCATCCACATTCACTCGACCTGTCGACCATGCACTAATACACGTATTTCGCTCATTTCTTTCAAATGTCAATGCATCATGCATGTTTCGGTTAGGTGCAGCGTGTACAGTCCCATCGCGATATACTGTAGTACGAATGTGATGCGTAGACCGTTTGACCTGCCGAATATATCAAATCACACTCTCTGCTGGCCTCGTGATCTTGCTTAAGAAGTCAGTTAATGGCAGCTACTAGTTCCAGGGCGGCTCATACCAAACACCCTGTTCCTGCACTCAGGAATCACAAACCAAACGCCATTGCCGAACTCTCGCATAGAAACCTCTCCATCGGACGCGACGATGCGACGTAGGGCCTGTTTGGTTCCCTGCATCCAACTGAACCAGACTGGCGGGATGCAGGGATCGACCGTTTGGTTGCCTGCTCACCTGGTTGAACCAGGCTCTGCGCGTGCACGAGGCACCCCGCGGCCAGGCTCTGCAGTAACGAGCAAATCGGCCGTTCCTGCCGGGCCTGGCTCGCTGGATACAGCTGCTTTCACGCCTAATGATACTATTAGTATATGATTAGTGAAAATAAGTGATATTAATGTATTTTAAAGATGTTTAAGACATAGTTAGATAAAATAAATACTTTAGGAGTGTATTTGCATAAAATAAAAAAATCATATTCATAACCTTATAATATTTTTATCTCATGCAATATATCTTCATACAAGCAACCAAACAGCATCTCTTCTCAGCCAGACTAAACCGACGCAGTCAACCAAATATAACAAGATCGCATGCACTCATCCTGTCCCATGTGAGCTAGGCTCTCAGATACGAGCCAGGCTCTACTAGTACGCGAACCAAACAGGCCCGTACAGGATGCCTGAAGAAGAAAACGACGTGACGGGCACGCGCAGCTTGGGGATCAGCGGTCTTTTCCATCCCAAACTGACGCGCAGCTTGGGGATCAGCAGTCTTTTCCATCCCAAACTGACCAGTTTCATCTGGCAGCAGCGTAACAATCGCCATGTTCGGCTCGTACATAAGCGTTTCGGCTGATTTAATACCGTTACGTGAGAGAATAAGCTAAAATAAGCTGACTCAGCTGAAAAATAGTTCAAACTAACCGGGCCAGGCATGTTCACCGTAACCGCCGGAGATTTGCCAAGTACCTGACGCGACGCCAAGGGCGCATGTGACTATCAGGTGATAGACTCACTTAATGTAACACCCTCAATGTTACATTATACTGTTTTGTTAAAACATTGTATGAGCATCATACTTAGGTGCATATGTGTATAACATAAATTATAAATCAATGATCGACACTTGAAATATTTATACGAAACAAGAAATCAATGTTACGTTTCATGTCACAAAATATGGTTTAGTATTCTAACCGAATTTTTATCGAACAAAAGTGTTATAAAACGTTTATGCGAACTTTGATAGAGTTGGTAGTACGTGCTTCATAGGCAGCAATGAAATAGGTGCGGTCGAGGACAAGGATAGCTAGCTAGTACATCCAGTAGGTCGGAATTAGGATTCGACGCGAAATCGTTCGAATCAACGTCATTCCACGTAAGTTTTAAAAGGGGGTCGACGAAGCCGCTTTTGGCATTTTTGTAGAGCAATCGGCTTAGGAAGTAGCGCGATGTCATGACTTCGGTTGGTAGCTTGACGTACCCTCTTGCGCATCGAACAATTGTATTTGGCGTTTGGAGCATCGGTACAAGTTTTTAAGCTGCTTTAAAATGCGTGCACGGCACGTGGGTTAGCTCTGGGCGCGGTCACCACCCTCTACTTGGCCTGGCACCGCTACTGGCTTGCCAACGCGCGCTGCTACGCCGGTCGCGTCCCATTGCCGCGCGTCAGTGCACGCCAAGACGACCTTTTGCGCTGCGTGCCAAGGCCGCTTTGCCACCACGGCCGACCATGCGCCACCGCCGTTGCTTCGGCTTGGTCTTCTTCTTTGGCTCACCCAGCAGCTTGCGCTGCCGGCCGCCGGCCGCATCCTCACTGCCATCATGATTGCACCTCACGCACGGAGTCCTGGCGCTGCTGCCTCGGTTGCCGGCTGCCACTTGCTGACGCGCGGGTCATAGCACCGCGGCTGACGCGCTACGTTCGGGACGCCGACCGAGCTGCCGTGCCATGCCCTGCCCTGCTTTGGCCGGGAGTGCGCCGGGTCCCGCGCTACACGCCACACGTCGCCACGCCGGCACTGCTTCCGTTGACTCACCGTGGCGGCACGCGCGTGAGACGACCGCCTGCTCCCCATCACCTCGGTGTCACTTTGCACTGTGTTTCCCTTGTCGGCGCTGCCCACTACGACGCCGTGCCGAGCCTTGTCGGCTTGCAGTCTCGGCCGTGCGGACAGCCGCCTGGAGCACGTCCCGCTGTCCTCCATTGTTGTGCGTGCTTGTATGTTGCGTTGACATCCATAGCCGGGCCGAACCAAGCCGTGCCAAAGCTCCCCTGTCTTCGCTGTCGCCATGGCGCGGGACCCCTTTTTTTCTCAATTCGCCGTGACCGCAGCACTATGCTCCATTTCGCCGCACCCTCGGCTCCGCTAGGTAGCTGGCCACGCAACCGTCCCCACCTTGCTGAGTGTACCGTTGCACAGAGCCGCAATTTGTAATCGCCGCCCCGCCGGGTCCATAAGACCGAACGGACGCGCACCGTCGGCAAGCCACCCATTCCGAGCACCCAGTAGCGATTCCTTGCACCATCGGCCTAGTCTTACCCTCCTGAGCACCCTAGCGCACCTCAGTCGTAGCTTTACAGCAGGCCAGCCATCACCGACGCGGCCGTGCCATCGTCGGGCGCCGTCGCATCGTCGGTGCACACGCGGCCAACTCAGCTCAGGCCTTCTCCGGCCGGACCGACACTTCAACGGTCTCCGTGGGTAGTTCCTTGAGCTCGCTAGCTAATTGGTTTGCTCTGCTTTCGCTGTGGCTCACGGGAACACACCCGCCATCGCAGGTCAAGGACCACCGCCCCTGTTCGCCGTATCGCTTCCAGCCGCTATGCGTTGTCGTGGAGGTAACCATCGGTTCCTTAGCTAGGCCTTAGAGACTCGGGTGACGCCGGCGTGGCCGCCCGGTGCCCGTGCCGTCGCGCCATGGCGTGCACGGGTGCTGGGGGACATCGCCGTGGTAAAGAAGAAGAAGGGGGAGGGCGTATCTGTAAAACCGTAGACTAGAAGAATAGTGTCTTAGAGCTCACAGTAAATACCGAGTAGTTCGGGGTCGTTTTTGCATGTCTGCGTCGTCATGGCTGTCTCTCCCGTCACGGGTCGTTATTCATTGGGCGAAACCCTCGCGTGGTCAAGGCTTTTGGCCAGCGCAAGCAAGACGCTGCGTCGTCGTCGTGGGCCAAGCCGCGCGAGTTGGGCCACGAGTTAGAATTCATTTTTTCAAATTCCAGTAAAGTAGAAATGATTATTCAATTTAGTTTTAAAGCTGAACTTTAATAATTTGTAGTAAATTGTGTAGTGGTCTAAAAATAGTGAAACTGAGTTTGTTAGATTCACAAAAATGCCCTCTGTTTGTTAGTGTAGTTAGTTCACAGTTAGCTGTTGTGATGCTAGATTCGTGAAGTGAAAATAGAAGAACTTAATATTAGCTAGCTTAATGTTGTAGGAATTCTTGGGGCAAATCAGTAATAGCTTTAGCTTTAAAAAATTACAGTAGGTTCTCAAGGATATTATGTACTTGTTGTAAATTTTGTAGCATTAGAAGGTGTTGTTAAATAAAGTAGTTATTACCCTGGCTTTATCATATATAGCGTAAATCAGCATTAGGAGTAAGAATATATGTAGTTGCTATAATAATAATGACTGTCATATTTCAAACTTGTTATCAGATAGCTTAGC